ACGCTGCTTCGCGCTCTGTCTGCCGCAGAGCGGCGCCGCTCCTGGCACGGAGGCGTGAGGTGCGGCCTGTCCGTCTGGTGGCCTGTGCCATGCGCTGCTTTGTCTCCTGTTGCTGTCCTCCAACCTCCCTTCCCACCCTGCCGCTTGCCGCAGGCTGCCACGCACAAGTTGGGGCCGTGGCGGGTGCGCATGCAGGCAAGAGCCCACCAACGCGAGGACTGTGCACAGCTGGCCCCTCCTCAACCCATTTTGGCTGTTCAAGGCGTGTGTTGTTACATGTGTGATGCGCGCTGAGCTGCAAACGAACAAGCGCAAAGAAGCCTAGTACTTAGGCAAAGGGAGGGGGGTGGGAGGGGCAGGTACAAGTGTGGCGGGGTGAAGCAAAACAGGGGGCATTCGTTGATGAGCTGCTTTGCTTGCACGGAAATGCACGACATGAAACTAAGGTACTGTTGTTGTTGTTGTCAATGGCTCGCAGATAGCTGTGATAACGAAATAGGACGGAGTAAAAGTACGTTCAGAGCGGTGAAGGAGGGCAGCTGGCGGCGCATTGGCGCCGAGGCAGCCGCCGTGGGTGTGGGCAGCCCGCAGCAAGGCTGCCTCAGAACTGGATGCACTGCTCCGGCTTGTAGCCAAGCTTCTCCAGGTTCTGCAGGCGGACAGGCAGGCAGGCAGGACGACTCAAAAACAACAGCAGTACTTAGCATGCTCCGTGGGTTCCCCAGCCTGCCGGCAGCGGCTCGGGCGGCAGCAGCAGGGGGGCAGCCAGCAGGGATGCCTGCTGCGGGCGGGGCCTCACCGGCAGGCAGGCAAACTTGATCATGGGGGGTGGGCCGCACAGGCAGCAGATGGTGTCCTCGCCGGCTGCAGGCGGGCAGGAGGGGCAGGGCGGAGGCGGCGCGTGTGAAGGCTGGGCAGCCTGGCATGGCCCAGACACAGGCACAGGAACAGACACAGGCGGCCATGAGGTGCCCGCCTGGCTGCTGTCCTTGGACGGCAGGCTGCTGCTGCTGCGAGGCAGGCTGGGCGGTGCCAGGAGGCTGGCAGGCTCACCAGGGAAGAGGCGCTCCCGCACCATGGCCTCATCAATGAAGCCGGTGCTGAACTGCCACCCCTCATCCGCCTTGTCCACTGCGCCACACACGGCCGGGGGAGCAGAGCGGGAGTCAAGACGCGCACATGCCGCGGGGCGCGCCGTCCGCCTCCCTCCAGAAGGGGCCCTCCCAGCACCGCCTCCAGCCCCTCTTTCTCTCCCTCCCTCTCACTCCTCCCTCCCTCTCTCACCCGTGTACCAGACTTGGAAGTTGGGGTGCGCCGCCGCCAGGGCGTCCAGCTCGTCGCGCAGCAGGATGTCGTCGGGCGACACGTTTGCGTACAGCAGGCGCAGCTGGGTGGCGTCCTCCGTGTCCTTGAGCACAGCCTTGATGACCTGCGGGCAAATGGATGGGGGGAGGGAGGGAGGGAGGGGGAGGCGGGTCAGATGCGTGGGTGGCAGTGGTGGGGTGGTGGTGGTGGTGGCGGCGGACGCGTTGGGTGGCTGGACCCACGCGAGAGATGCTCGCATGTTCCAGCCAAGCAGCCAGGATCAGAGGGCCGGGGGGAAGGCAGGGGCTGTCCGCCAGGCAGGCAAGCGTGCCCAAGCAGCCTGGCCACTGCGCAGCCGCGGGGGGGCCCACCTGGTACATTGGCGTGATGCCGGTACCGCCCGCAATCATGCTGATGTGGCGCGCGGCGTGCGGCTCGCCGTCCAGCGTGTACCTGCAGTACGGTCGGGCGGTACGGCAAGCGGATGGGTGTCAGGGTCGTGCCCGGCGACTTGCGTGGGTGGGGTGGCAGGCGCCGGGTGGAACCGCCAGCCCCAGCCAGCCAGCCAGCCAGCCAGCCCAGCGTGGCACTCCCCACCCTCACCTGCCGCGCCCCAGGTAGTGGACATGGCCCAGGGGCCCCTTGACCTCGATGCTGTCCCCAATGGCCAACCCCTCCAGGTACTGGCTCATCTTGCCTGCAGGGGGGCAGCCAGGGGGTGGCGTGTGGGTGTGTGCGTGCGAGCGTGGGGCAAGATCAGAGAGGGCAGGCAGGCATTTCGCTGGAGCGCCACCACGCTGCGCCCCTGCCCGACCCCAGCAACTCACCCCTCACGCCTCCACACACACGCGCACACTCGCACGCACACACAGCCCACACGCTGTCGGTCAGTAGGTGGGGGCCCACCTCCTGCGGGGAAGCGCGGGTGCTGGTTGGCAAAGTAGATCTTCACCACCAGCTCAAAGTAGCCCAGCTGGTCGTCTGAGGATGAGGGGGTGTAGGCCCGCATCACCAGCTCGCCGTCCACCCTGGGAGGGAGGGGGAGGAGGAGGGGCACGAGGGGCGAGCAGGACATACACACGTGTGAGTGGAGGGTGGGCAGAGGGGTGAGCAGGGATCCCGTGGCGGGCAGCCAGCCCCGGCCTTCGCAGCCAGCCCTGCCCCTGAGCCCCGCAAGCCCTCTCCCCGAGCGCCCGCCGGCCCCGCCCAGCCCGACTGCCTGCCCCTCCCATCCCTGCCGCCGCGCTCACTTGGCGTACAGGAAGACGTGCTTGCCGACGGGCAGCCCGAAGCGGTGCTGCGGCGACTGCAGCGCGAAGCGGAAGCGCCGCACGTTGTGGCTGAGCGCCTCCTTCTCGATGAGGGTGAAGGGCGTGCGCTTGCGAGGATCCAGCGCCACTGGTACCGCCGCGGGCGCCGCCGCAGGCAGCGACCCCGCTGCAGGCGCAAGGGATAGGAGGCAGGCGGCGGCGCGCGGTCGGGCCGGGCGCGGCCCAGGCTGGCAGCACCCTCCCGGCTGCCGCACCACAGCCGCCGCGCTCCCGCGGCACGCCGCACGATACCACAAAAACACAGCAAACAGGCGGGCGACACGGCAGGTAGGCAGGCAGGCGGGCAACAGCTGGCACAGCAGGCAGGGCAGGCAGGCAGGGCGGGCAGGCAGGCCCGCGGCGCACCTGGCGCCGCCGCCGCCGCCGCCTCCTCCTCCACCAGCTCCCCAATGTAGTAGTCTGCCAGCATGGCCTTGGCCTTGGCGGAGTGGATGGCGTTGAATTCGTCCGAGGCGTCGGTGCCCGCCACCAGGAGGATGGAGTCGGCGCCGCCTGCGGGGGCAGGAGCGGGTGGAGTGATCAGCCTGTGTGTGTGTGTGTGTGTGTGTGTGCGCGCGCCAGGCAGGGGACAGAGGTCGGCAGGGGCCCGCCGCGCCCGCGCAGGCTGCGGCCGGCGCCGGCGTCGCGCGCTGCCGTGCCGCCGCCCAGCCCCAACACCCACCCGGGTGCTCCTTGAGGAAGGGGGTTGAGTCGTAGACTTTGCCGTCCACCACAAACCAGCAGCTGTCCTTGGTGGCGTGCTGCTCCACCTCGGCCATGGTGAAAGTGCGGGCGCCCGGCGGCGGCGCCGAGGGGGCCGCCACCGCCACCGCCGCCGCCGCCGCGTCCGCGGCGCGGTTCATCCACCCGCCTACCGTGGGGCCCGCGACGGTGGGGTGCTCGAACTGGAGCGCAAAGCCGCCAGCTGCGCAAGGGAAGAGCGCCGCGGGGCGGGCAGGAGGGGCCAGCTCCTCAGCCAGACGTGAAAGCAAGGGCTGTGACATCAGGCGCTCGACCCTGCGCACCCAGTCCAGCCCCAGTCCAGCCCAGCCCAGCCGGCCCAGCCCAGCCAGCCCCGGCAGCTCACCCGTTGTCTGGCGGGGGTGGATCTTCACGCGGTAGCAGCAGTTGTTCATCATGCCCATCACATTCCTGCGGTACGGTCCAGCAGCGCGCAGCTGTACAGTCCAAAGCACGGCGGCAAGAAACCGGCTGGGCGGCGGCCCAAGCAGCCGGCCCTGGCCCGGCTCGGCACCGCGCGCCTGCCACACACCAGGCGCCAACCATGTCGTGGAGGGCGTGCACAGGCGGCGCCGGCCTCACCAGGTGAAGGTGTTGGGCTGGGTGTTCATGGAGCTGTCCCAAGCGCGGCAGATGAGCTCGGGGCAAGCCAGCAGCTCGGCTGAAGGGATTAGAGGCAAGGGTGGGCACATGAGGGGGTCAGGGAGGGGTCAGCCAAAGACGCAAGAGAGCAGGGCTTGGGCAAAGCCGGGAGCGAGGCTCGGGGCTGTGTGACGCCGGCTGGGCGCAGGGCTGGGAGGTGTGGGTTGGCAGGCGCCAAGCACGGCTGGCCGAGGCTCAGGGGTGCAGCCCCGGGGCCCACCTATGGGGATGTCGATGCTCCACCACACCCAGGCCCAGTGCTTGCCGTAGGCGGTGGGCGGCGTGCTGTGGGTAACCCCCGCCAGCCGCCAGCTCTTGCCGTCATCCAGCGACACCTCGCAGCGGATGATCTTGTCGCCGTTGCCTGCGGGGGGAGGGTCACGGAGGGGTGCAGAAGGCGCGGGCGCATGTCAGCCAGGGAGAGGCAGGCGGGAGGCAGGGGAGGCACCACCAGCCCACAGCACACCCGCGGCAGGCTGGGCACCACCACCAGCGGAGCAGGCGGTCTGGCGCATCATGAGAGTGCAGCCCGCGGCGGGCGGGCAGGGCCCCACACCAACACCTCAACAAACAAAAAAAGGGGCTCAACCGGCTACTGGCTCAAACGAGAGACTGGGCAGCCCCACCCACCGCAGTAGGCGTAGCCGCGCACGGCGTAGGCGCCCGCCGCCAGCGGCACCACCTCCTCGTGCGCGGGGTAGCCGATGGCGGACTGCACGTTGAGGTCGTTGATGATGAAGTCGGGGTTGTACCACCAGCCTGGGAGGAAAGCGAGAAAAGAAAGGAAGAAAGGAAGAACATCAGGGGCCGGCGTGATTGAATGCAGCTGTCAGGGAGTGGGTATCAGGCGAGGTGCGAGGTGCGCTTGCGGCAGCCATGGTGGGCATGTGGCGCACATGCCCTCGCCCGCCCTCCCGCCCAGCGCAGCGTGCGTTGGCTGGATCCCAGTGGCGGATGCCCGCCGGCGCTCGCTCACCCTCCTTGTTGGCCAGCGCCTCGTCCACGTGGCTGGGCAGCACGCGGTTGTCGTGGAAGTGGTAATAGTTCTGGCTCTCCACAGCCGTCACGCTGATCTCCTCCAGCCTGCAGCCAAAACGGCGCAGCCAAGGAGAGGATGATGGGATGAGACTCGTCAGCAGGCAGGGGCAGAGGCAGGCGCGGCGTCGAGCAGCCGCGCGCCGGGCTGCGAGCCGGGGGCCGCCGCGCCGCGGCGCGCGCAGGCAGCGCGGGCGGCGGCGAGCGGCGCGGGGGCTGCCCGTGCGGCACGCACCACTTGATCATGCGGCCACCGATGAAGCCGGGGATGATGAGCCTGCAGGGGGCGGCGAGGCGCATATATATATGGCGGTGAGCGCACTCGGCAGCAGGCACACAGCTGCCGTGCCTGCCTCTCTCCTGTCACTTTACCACCCACCCAAACGGCCACACACCCACAAATGCACGCACAAACACACACCACGCAGTCGTCGCCGCGACCCAGCCGCACGCACCGCAGCGGGTAGCCGTGGTCTGGGGTCAGCAGGCGCCCGTTCTGCTTGTAGGCCAGGATGAGGTCGCTGGCTGGGTCCATGGCCTTGACCCAGGTCACAGACGTGCCGTAGCTGCCGTCGTCGCCCTTGGGCAGCTCGCCTGCGGGCGGGAGGGGCAGGAGGGGAGGTGCGGGAGGCAAGGGGAGCAGTCGGCATGGGGGCAGGGATGTCGGGGCGGGGAGGGGCCAGTGGTGGTGGGAGGGTGTGGTGGGGGGCGGTCTCGGCGGCGGCTGCAAAGCGGCGGGCCCGGGGCGCGCGGGCAAGGCGGCGGCGCACCCTTGGGCCCGCGGAAGCACACGTGGTGCGCGCCCTGCTCCGGGCTCTTCACGCTGCACCGCTGCAGCACCTCGCTCAGCCGCACGCCCGTCCAGGTGGAGCAGCTGGTGCCTGCAGCGCAGGCGCATGTGTGTGTGAGCGTGTGCGCGGCTTGCGGCGGTGGTGGTGTGCATGTGGGTGGGCTGTGGGCCGGCAGCAGCGCAGCGCAGCGCAGGGAAGCGCAGGCGGGTGGGCTCCGCCCCAGAAAAG